GGGCGTGTTGTTGTGACCAATATCTTGTCCTCCTCGGATGCCTACCGAAGAGGTTTGCGTTACGGCGACGAGATCGTCAGCTTTGGTAATCGAGAAGTGACAACGGTCAACGGTTTCAAGAACATACTGGGCATTTATCCACGTGGCTGGAGCATTCCGCTTTCCTATCGCCGCGAAGGGAAACGTTACGACACTGTCGTACGTCTTGCCGGGGTACACTCTCGTCGCGAGCTGCTAGAAAAAACGGGCAATGCTCCGATCCCGCCAAGCCCAGAGGAAACTCCAGAGCCGAAGGAAGGCGAAGAGGCCCCCAAACCTGACGGAGAGAAACCGAAGCTGCCGATTCCGGTTCCTGGACATGGCCAGAAAGAAGAAGCCAAGCCGCCAGAGGAATGGAAACACCTTTACGAAGAAAAGACTGGCTACGCAAATTACCAATTCAATCACGCCCATCAAAAACGCCTACGAAAAGCGTTAGACGCGTTAGGTAATTGGGCTGACACCGGCGAGACTTGGGAACTGGAATATTCGTTGGTCGACAACGACAGCGGCGTCATCCACATTGGCCCGTTGACCGTCGAGGGAAAAATGGCCGGCGTGAACCACAACGTCGAAGTCGCTGGAGACTTGACCGAAAAATTGGCTCCTTCAGGCAGTGNNGCGAGAAGTTCGACACCTTTGGTGAGGTGTACTATCTCGGAACCGCTCCTCGTCGCGACTTCAATGTTCAGTACGACGTGCTGGTGGGACTCTACGACGCGTTGGAAATCCGAGCTTACTTCGACCAGGAAACAGGACAACTCATGGTCCTGGAAATGTTCCCGGAATCGGACACGGATCCATGCGAAATTGAATTCAGCGAGTATCGCGAAACCGACGGATATACGCTGCCTCACCGAATGGTGATCCGCTATGGCGACGATCCGTTCGACATTCTGACGGTGAAGAAGTGGAACGTTCATCCGACAGGGGAGGGTGCCTAACATGACGCGAAAGCAATGCCTCTCGTTATTCGCCACTTTCCTGCTGGCTGTCGCTTCCACCTTTGCGACTTCGCCACTACGTGCGGAGTCTTCCCTGCGAGAAATTACTGACGAAGTCCAGCGGAAGATTGTCAAAATCTACGGAGCCGGTGGACTACGCGGGCTCGAATCGTATCAATCAGGCAGCCTCATTTCAGACAAGGGACATATCCTCACCGCGTGGAGCTATGTGCTCGACTCGAGCGTCATCACGGTCGTCTTGGATGATGGCCGACGTTTTGTCGCCGAGCTTGCTGCGGCCGATCCTCGCTTTGGAATTGCCCTGCTGAAGATCGATGTCGAAGGCGTTCCGTTTTTCAATCTCGACAAAGGCGTTTCGCCCCAAGCGGGTGATCGGATCCTTTCCTTTAGCAATCTGTTCGGAATCGCAGCCGGTGATGAGCCTGCAAGTGTTTTAAGCGGGTATGTCTCCGCGGTAACGCCGCTGGAAGCTCGTCGAAGCACGTTTCCTTCCGCCTATCAAGGACCGGTCCTGATTGTCGATGCCATCGTTAACAATCCTGGTGCAGCCGGGGGAGCATTAACCGATCAACATGGCCACTTCGCTGGTCTCATCGGAAAAGAACTACGCAGCTCTCGAAACGATATCTGGTTGAACTACGCGATACCTATCGCTCAGCTCCGCGAACCCATTGAGGACTTACTCGCAGGTCGCTCGCGCCCGATCGTCGATCCTGAGAAGGAGAAGCCTCTTTCACCACTGACACTCACGCACATTGGTGTCGTTCTCGTGCCTGACGTGCTGGATAAGACGCCACCCTACGTCGAACGTGTCGAGCGTGACTCATTGGCCGAGGCCGCCAAGCTTCAACCGGATGACTTGATCCTTTACGCCGACGGAACCCTCATATCGTCGCAAAAGGCACTCGTAGAAAAATTCAGCTACATGGATCGGGACGACGTCGTTTCCTTGACGGTCTTGCGTGACGGACAACTGGTCGAACTTACTCTCAACGAACTGCAATAAATGTTCAAACCGTTCCCAATCCTGCTAATTACTCTCGCATTGATCGTCGGTACGCTTGCAGCTCCTCTTTCCGCTCAGGACGTGAACGTTGCCGAACAGGATGCCATTCAGGCTGCCGTTAATCGCGTAGCGGCGAGTGTCGTGCAGATTGAAACGGTAGGTGGCCTGCAGGAAGGAGGTGGCCCCCTAGAAGGTGCCAGCCGGACCACAGGGACCATCGTTTCGCCGGATGGCTGGATCTTATCGAGCTTGTTTGGCTTTATCCAGGAGCCCTCTGGAATTCTGGTCATACTGCCGGATGGTAAACGTGTTGCCGGAAAGTTGGTTGCCAAAGATACCAGTCGCAATTTGGCACTACTGAAAGTCGAAGCGAATAAAGAGCTCGCCGTACCAGATTCGGTCGATCGAAGTGAGTTACGTCCCGGACAGTGGGCGATCGCTCTTGGCAAGACTTTCTCCAAGGAAGTTCCTTCGGTCTCTGTCGGTATTGTCAGCGCGACTCATCGCGTTTGGGGAAAAGCGGTTCAAACCGATGCCAAGATCTCGCCCAACAATTACGGTGGGCCGTTGGTCGATATTCAAGGGCGAGTTATCGGAATATTGACTCCGCTTTCTCCGCAAGGAGCAGGTGCCACCGACGGCTTCGAGTGGTACGACTCCGGAATCGGTTTCGCGGTTCCGCTCGCTGAAATCGAGTCGCGTCTCGAAACCATGCAAGAAGGCCAGGATCTTCAACCTGGTTTGCTGGGAATCAATCTAAAAGGTAAAGATATCGTCGCGGATGCGGCCGAGATTGCTGCCGTTCGGTATAACAGCCCCGCTCAAGTTGCCGGCATTCAAGAGAAAGACATTCTTATTGGTGCCAACGGACGTCCTATCGAGCGGCAAGCCCAGCTGAAACACATTCTAGGGGAAGCGTACGCTGGTGACACCATTGCCTTTCGTGTTAAACGTGGCGAAGAAGAACTCGACATCAGCGTCACTCTCGCCGCCGAGTTGATTCCCTATGAACGACCCTACCTAGGCATCTTGCTCGATCGAAATACGCCAGACAGCGCGGTCGTTCGTCATACGCTGGAAGAAACCGCAGCGCACAAAGCCGAGATTCAGCCAGGCGATCAGATCGTTAAGTATGACGATATCGAGATAGAGTCCCCGCAATCCCTACGTTTGGCCGTGGCGACTGCTGAACCAGACGTACCTCATAACATTACGCTTCTTCGCGAAGGAGAAGAAAAGACGCTTGAAGTCAATCCTGGCAGTCGATCCAATGCATTCCTTCCAGAGGTTTCCCCGCAAGATGCCTCGGAAGACGCGGAAGTGATTGCTGGAATTACCACCGGAGAAAGTGATTTCCAGCTCGCCGAAGAACAGAACAATGCCAAGCTGTTTGTTCCTGAGGTTGCCAAGAAGCTGCCATCGCTGGGGCTTGTGGTTCTCTTAGGCGATGCCGAATTCAAGCTTGAACCGGCCCGTGAAGCCTGGCAGAAATATGCCGAGCAGTTTGGTTTTGCTGTGCTAGAGATTTCGCCCGCTAGTGGAACGCGTTGGACGAAGCCTGAGACTTCGGTGGTTCGCAAGATGATCGATCGCGTCCGCGACAATTACACCATCGATGCGGCACGAACGGTTGCGATCGGCGGCAAGTCAGGCGGAGCGATGGCGCTGATCCATGGCTTTGATAACCGAGACGTGCAAAATGGTGCGGTTTCTATCGAGGCAGGTATTCCTCGGGGAGCCAACATCCCTGACAATGAACCTCTTGAACGGCTTGAAATCGTCTTTCTTAGTCGTGAATCATCTGAAGGAGCCGCTCAACTGCAGCCACAGATTGAGGCTCTGCAAAAGATGAAATTCACCGTCATCACGGACGAAGTTTCTCGGAACGGCGACCAATTGAGTCTTTCCGATAGCGACATTGAAAAGCTGTCGAACTGGGTGAATACGCTCGACCGTATCTAGCAAACACGCGTTTGCCACCT